CCTGCTATTCCCCCCCCCCCTTTCTATAGCGGACGAAGGACGACAGACGCGGCACCCTCAACCGGGGGAGCTTCCGCTCCTCACTCAGACAAGTCAAGGAGGTGCACGGCTGCCACTACGACGACTCTCACGACCCTCCATCGCCATCGTCGACGACGGGTCCTCCAACGTCGACGACAGGTCCCGTCCCCATTCAGTCCATCCTCGCCGCCACGTCAGGGTCCACCAAACCGTCATTGTAGTTGAACTTACTCTGCACGCCGCCCACCCCGGGATGTAGTTGGGAAACATAGCCAACGTCACATGCAGGTTCCCAAGGCGAAACAAAACAGCATTCACGGAGTCAACGATATGCCTGCACTAGTTGAACGCCTGCAACCCTACCGCCAACAGCGTGGGCTTCGCGGCGAGCTGGGAGTAGAACGAGCATCGTCGCCACCCATGCTCACGATCCACATGTTGGCGGCGAGAAGAAGGCCAAAGGCATCCCCAATTTTGTTCAACCTTTTTTTTTTTTTTTTTTCCCCGAACACTCGAGTATCTAAGGGATTTCCAACAGATCATAACAATACTCACTAAAACCGACTTATTCTCTGGCAAACTCATCTAGGCCTCACACCCCCTTTCTGCTAGGTTACAGAGCGACGCGACTCACTCCAGCTCCGGCCAATGTCGGCCTATGTCAGCAACCCCGAATTGTCCTTTAGGATGCCCCCGCATAGCATCCCCAGATCACTCTACAAGGCCTCATGCCCTCACAGGGACATCTTCCCATTCTAGGACCACTGGCTGCGGCGGAGCGCATCTTCGAAGCGAGACGCCAAATGCAAGACCGTGGACTCCTGAAGGGCAGCGATGTCATCGTCCTCCGGCCTGTCCTCGATGTACGCCCCAACATACCACAACGGAATCTCCATCTTGAGGGCGAGTGTGATAAACGACGCTGGGAGAGACCACCCTCGACCACTCCACGGACTGCCACACTGTTCTCGCCAGATCTGTCGGGTAATCAATGGAGACATACGACTCCGTGCGGGCGAAACCATCGGCTCTGGAAAGGGACCTGAAGATCCACCCGTGGATCACGCGCATGGCCGCGTTCTCCGTCTTCCTCGCCCTGCGAAGAGCTGGCTCGCACAGCGTTGGATCTTCGATCCGAAAGTGGGGGACGTTGTTTGTTCGCATCAACAGGCCTCCGGAAGCGTTGGCGCCAGCATCACCATTTACGATTGCGCACAGGTACTCTGCGCAAGAGTGCACAACGTCGGCGATGAGGTGACCAGGTCAAAGGGTTTTTTACTCTACAACTTCGACTTTGGGCCCGAGTCCTCCTGCCACAATCTTTTCTTCCTCCTCGTGAGAGGCTCATCGTTGTCGTCGCCAGCCCGCAGAGTATGCTCCGTCATCTCCTCTTTTCCCGCCTCCACATGCGTCCTCTCTTCTCGCCTTTTGCTGCTTGCGGCGCCGTGGACAGTCGCACTTGCCACGTTTGCCAGTGGAAGTACCCTGCCAGATAACCCAGCAACGGTGTTCGATGGATCGACGCGACGAGGTTGTATGGGTTGGACAGGTGTTTTGTCAACGCGACGAGGTTGTATGGGTTGGACAGGTGTTTTGTTTGACCTCCCAAATCATCGACGACAGTCCCTTGAGAGCGCAAATCCACTGCCAGCCACATGCGCCGTTCCTTGCATGGCAACCCCAGTCATTGCGATGAATTGCTCCCTCGATATGTCGTCCCTGCCAAACCCAAGTGTCAGTGCTTCCAACGAATGGCCTTCCATGGGCGATCGGTGCTCCTCGCCATCACCCCCCATCGCACCCTCTGACCCCTCTACACGTGGCTTTTTGGACTTTGGGACGTGTCCCCTTCCGAGAGACCGCCCCCCCTTTTGCAGAGGCTGTCTCGCTTTCTCGGCTGCGACTGTCCACAAGGCACCATCACCTCTCTGCGGATGTCGCCTCTCCTAAAAGGAACAACGAAAAAAAGTGCTCCTCGACGTCAACGCCGGGGCGGAGAGACTACTGATTGCTTGCCTGCGAAGACAGCGATGGACACACCTGTCGTCAGATCGCACATGCGCTTCGCTGGCGACCACAATGAAATCGTCGCATGACGAAGGACGACGCTGAGGCAGGAGAAAACATACTGTGAAGCACACCCGCGTCGGTCATTTATAAGTTTGCATTGTTTCGTGCCCCGATGCGCTTCCGACGAGATGGCGTTTATTTCATGGGCTTGCACAGGCGATCGAAGTCCTTTTGCTACGCTTGGAAGACATAGATCGCAAGGTCGCTACGCCCATGCTAAGTGACCACCTGCCCACTTCGTCGGCGTGGACTCGTTGCAGTTGTGGGTCGACCAAGGCTTTTTTTCCCGTCTCCACGACAGCCTAGCACTCGAAGCCGCCCTTTCGCACTTCAAAAAAGTTCTCGGCCCTCAATCTTCCCACCCCAACTTGCAAGAAGACCTTCCGATAGAGCCCCCCCCTCCCCCAGAAAAAAACCTTCTCAACTGCCTGGCGATCGGTCTGTCCACAACCCCCGACTTGCCGAGTCCTTCCATGCATGCTTCTTTGTTGATGCAGGCATCTCTCTCTCTCTCTCTCTCTGAAGACAGAGATGCCTGCGAGAGAGAGAGACCACCTCCTTCTAAAAAATATATATACATCTATATATCGTCAAATAGAACTGCCCGGTAAACCGTAGGCAGAGAGGGAGAAGAGGACAACAACCGAGGGGCTGTATATGTATTATACACACAAATGTATATAGATACATAGACGAATGTGGCACAAACGCAAAACAAGTGACGACCGCATCGCTTGTGGATGCACAGACAGGACGATCGACGCAGGAGCAGAGGCGGCATCAAGACCTGTCCCTAATGGCTTTTATGATCTCCAGCAATGAGGTGCACATCAACCTGTTCGCCTCATCGGACGCCTCGTAGTGTCGCCCTTGGGCATCAACCTCACGCTCAAGTATGTCGCACAACCGCTCCAGAATGGAACATTGTCGCTTGCTGGCCCCCTCGACGGTGTCAGCCATCAATGCGACGTGTCTCCCCATAACTTCAACGATGGCGTCGAATGTCTGCTGGCGCACGTTCTTCCTCTTGCAGTTCCCTTCCGTGCTGCCTGCACTGTAGTCGGACTCCCGGGCCGACCCTTCTTTGTCGTCGTTCCCATCACCCCCATCACCCCCGGTAGCGGATTCTCCAACAATGGATGGGGAACGAGGCATCCGCAGTCCTCCATGTGTGCTTGTGTCGACGACGTTGTCCGGGTAGATGGTCTTGCCCCTCACATGGCGTCTATCTCATCGCATACGCGCTCCTCCATTATGAAGTTGAAGCCTTCTTCCGTTCTCAACGAAGGTGTGAGGGTGAAGAAGTTCTTCCCCCCCAGAGGCGGTCTGCAACCGTTGCACTTTCTTGTACTGCTGGAAGAGGTTGTCCCACTTCTTGTCGATGTCGTCAATCGTCCTGTTCAACCCCACGTCCAGCAAATGCTTTTGCAGGTCCTGCAACTTCCATTCCCTGTTGCGTATTCGTTTGTAGTTGTGTGGCATGCCCTCAAAATGAGTTTGCTGGTCCCTCTTCGCCCGGGCAAGCTTGAGCATCTCCTCAACACTCCAAGACGGATGCTTCCCACCCTTCTCGCCTGTAGGACCCTTCGACCGGCGACCACCACTGGAAACAGCCTTCTCTTGATGCACGCCTCCACCCCTTCCTCTACCACGCACAGGCAAGGGTCGAATCTCCATGTCATCAGCATCTTCCGCTTCCTCTTTGCAAATAACATCTAGAGATTCATAGTCGCTCCCCCGTTCGGAATCTTCCGCATTCGGTTCTTCGCTCGCCACAAAAAACAAAATCGGCTCACTTAACGGCCATGTGCTCTAACCACTGAGCTACTAGAGACCTTTCTATTGTCGTATTTTTTTGATAGTCTTTTGAAAATCTATCATATTTTGTTGAAAAATATCTTGTTTTTTACTCGAGTAGTCTTATGCATGTGTGCACGCATCCTTCACAACCAGTTCGTTATGTTCTCTCCGGTCATTTGACACGTCTGATACCGACATGACTCCCACACTTGCCTGCCACTTTCCTTCGATCCGACGGCACTTGTGTTCATCACCGGTGCGACCATCCTCTCGCGCGGTGCAATCAAAGGTGATGTCAAAGGGGGGGGGGGGGAACGACATCCCCAACATGTCGACGGATGGTCCTGCACCTCGAGAAAACGAAGGCAGCGGACAATACCCATCAGGGCTGGAACCTTGCAAACAGGACCTTCCTCCATGCACTGTCGATCAGTCGATGCTCACGCCAAGCACTGGGTTGAACATACCAATGTGTGTAGCTGCTGAAACACTCCTGCTTGACAAGCCAAAATCCTAGTCCACAATCATTGTATCGCCTCCATAGATACTGTCCCTCTAGCAGAGCAAAAACGAATGACGACTTGTCATGGCCTCCTGTTGTCTACAATGGCTCCCAATCCAGTCCTACATTGATCCGCTCCCCAGAGGCAGAGTGCAGGGCATATCATCCACCCATTGCTCTTTGGGATCCGTCGGTAACGGCTGCTCGTGAGGCGGGATCTGACTGTACAGAGTTCAGTCATACACACCTGCATGGTGCGCCCGGACCGTTGGTTCTGGAGTGGAGTACTCAATGGCGCGTGTCGGTTGTCTGCTGGAGGTTTCGTGCCTGTCCATCGTCGTCTTCCTCATCGTTCGTCATTTCCGTCCGCTGCAAGGACCCTGCACAATGACGCAAACGTGGAACAACACGACAACTAGCAAGAGACGAGTGACCAGCACCAAAAGCGAAAACCGTTGAAGGACGTCTACCATGAATCGGAGCACGCGAGGCGAGTACCAAACAAAGATTGCATCCCCGCGGGCGACAATAGTCGACAAAGCATGCTACGGAGACAACTGCAATCAGCCAGCAGTGCTTGAACATCGTTTTTACAAGAGTTGAAAAATTCGACCGTTGGACACCACGGCCGGCGACATGCACGCGCAAAACCCCGCTCTGTGGATAGCGGCTAATTTAACCCAAGGGACCTCGTGAAGACCCCTCCAAGGACGTTTTGGCTGGGGATTCCGAGGAACCCAAGGAAATCTCTTGGGAGCGTTTTCACATTCGTTCAAGAGATTCAACGAATTAGGACGTGGTGTAACGACGTCGATTTCCTAAAAGTTGGATTTCCAAAAAGGGTCTAACGAGGCCCTTATGCTGCCCTGACCCTATTTTATTGGTCAAGAATGAGGGAGGATTTTCTCAAGTACTTGAAGACTTGCGAGTTATGCCAAAGGAACAAGGTCCACAAACGACCTCCTATGCAGCTACTCAAACCATTGCCTATTCTAGGCGAGTCGGTGTCCATTGACTTTACTGATTGATATGAGACAGGTAATGGTATGTGTTGATCGTTTCTCAAGTTCGTTGAGTTTATTCCCATACCTGCTAAGGCCAAAGTTCCTCTGGTGAGGGAGTTGTTTGCTGAGAGGTGGGTTTTGCAGCGATGAATGGCAGTCTTTCTGTAAAGACTACCTCCATTCCAGGCTAGACATGACTTCTGGCAGACATCCTGAAGCCAATGGACTGAAATGATGAACAAAGTCTTGTTTCAGCTGCTGCATCCTGTGATCGCACCTGATCAACACGACTGGGACAAGCATCTGTCAAGGGCTCAACTTATGTATAATACCTTTGTTCATAACACTACACGCTTTACACCCTATAGGCTGCACTTTGCCAGAGGCCCACGATCTCATTGACAAGACACAGCCTAAACAAACTCCTAGGACTGCAGAATTCAACAAGAGCTATAAAAAAGACAAAGAGAAAGCCAGAACTAACATGTTGCAGGCTCAGAAAACGATGATTGAGCAGGCTAATAAGCATCATTCTCCCTCTCCTATTCGGCCTGGTCACTGGGTTTGGGTGAAAAGATCAGAGTTTAACTAATGAACAGAACATCACGAAAGTTCTTGCCTGTCTACTATGGCCCATGGCAGGTACTTGATACTGTGGGAACAGACCCCTTTGGGGCTTCCTATGTGCTTGCTGTACCCCCACATATCAGGACCTATCCTATCTTCCACGCCTCAAAACTGCTGCCTTTCACTCCTGTTGACGCGTTTCCTGATCGGTCACCGCAGTTTGGACCTCCTATCCCCGGAAAGAGATATGAGGTTGAGAGCATTGAGGATCAATGCGGCACTGGCCCCGACTGTGAATATCTTGTCGAGTTCCTTTTCCAACCGCATACTGAGGGTCGTTGGTTTACAAGAAAGGAACTTCTCAAGTCTGCAAATTCAGTCGTGCGGTTCTACGAGGCTGAGCAAAGTGGGAAATTGACCAGGCGGTCTCCTCGTGGACAATCCTAGCTCGGGGTCCTCGCTCCCCGGGAGGGTAGGAATGCAATGAATTGCAGTGCTACAAGCGGGCTGTACACCAATTTTGTCCCTATTGTCGTTGTCGTGACATTTGTCTGCTGGGTTGCGCCTTGGTCCCGTTCTCCCGTTTCCTGCGTAGATACAGGAGAGTCGTAGGTTACTCTTGTAGGTCTAGGCCGGGAGTAGAAGTAGCGGGCAGGAAATTATATTGGGGTCTTTTTTGCATCTCGTTTGGTTGGGGAAACTCTGCCCGTTCGTTGCTGGAGCGCTGCTGCACTATTTTGGGCGAGGGCATCTTCTTCCTCGAAGCCCGGCCATAGCTGGGGCTGGGATATGAAATTGAAGATCGTACTGCTGCTATGTAGCAGCTCTGCACGAACCACAGGACTGTGTTGTTGGGTTTGGGCACTGCCATCCTCCACTTGGCAGCCATATATGCTGTTCATCCTCACAAGGAACTTCATCTTCACCTTCCTCGAACTGCTGGTTCGGTTGTCTCCTTCTTCATCAGGACTTCCAGCGCTGCAGTTCCGTGCGGGCGCTGAGCTGGCGCTACTATCATTGGAGTTGCTGGTTCAGATTGGCACGTTGTGACAGCTGTGTGGTTACTGCTGCTACAGCAGCCAAAGCCAGGGGTATGAGGTGGCAAAGAGGAAGAAGAAGACTCCTGCATACTTCGTTGAACACTTGTTTTTGGTTGTTCGGGGTTATTGTAAACATGGTTGTGATTCTTGGAACAAGTACGCTGGATTGATCGGAGGAGGACGTGGAATTACAGAATTGAAATTCGTTTTTTTTCAATTCTCTGTGTATTTTGAGCTTCCGCTGAGCATATCTTCTCTCCGGTTTTGTGTGGATTTGCCTCCTTCGAGTCTACTCTGCAATTGCATGTGTGTATAGGGGAACGTGTGAATTCATTGTGGATTGAAGTTCAATCGGGTACATAACACTTACCTGTGGCCGTGCTTTTGTGGGAATGCAGCAGGAACTTAGAAGTAGGCTAGGCTAGAGTAGGATGGAAAACACTCAAGTAGCATGTAGGTGTGCAGAAGAAGACAAAAAGTTGGTACCATTAGGGGACAAAGGAATTTTAGAAGTCCGGTAGGCTTAGAGTCTAGGGGTAACGGTCCAGTGGTCTGAGTCTAGGGCCAGAAGCGAGGGATATCAGACTGAAATGATGTTTCCCTCCAAAATACGGAAGCTACCGGGAGCTTGGGAGGCTGCGGTCTGGGAACTCACCGCCCGAAGAGCCAGTAGGCCGTTACATCTTCAGGACGAGCGAAGAGCTCTTCCTCACTTGCGCCCGTGAGTCCTGAAGACACGGTGCTTGGGCGAGTCCTGGAGGAAACAGCGCCGAGGAAGGAGAATAAGGCTTGGCCTCCCACCTCGGCTATGGTAGAGAAGACCAAGGAGAATCTTTGTGGGAGGTAGGAGAAGGAAGAGGAAGACGTCGTGCAAGGAGGAGGATGACAGGGGGAAGCTGACCTGCCTATGGTGGCCTGCGTTTTCATTGTCTTGGTTGGCGCTGCACATTGGAGGACCTGACTGGGGTTGGCATATTCAAGGAAGACTTCAGGGCAGTAAGGGGGCAAGGCAGCATAGCAGGAGGGACATACTAGCTTTGCATTGTCGTTTGAACACAGGCCCTCTGCTCGATAGTAGCTTCACTCTGATAGTCCGCCATAGCCCTCTGCTCGACATAGTAGGAGGAAGGTGTAGGAGACGGCTATGGTGGACCCCTTGACTGGCTGGCAGTAAGGAGAGGATTCAGACATTGTTTCTGGTTCATTCTTTCGTTGGTATTATGATTATTGTTGAAAAGAACAGGTTGGGGGAGTAAAAGGAGGTTGGAGATGGTGACTAGATAAAGGGGGATTGATATTGGTCTATGCTGGTGTTCATCATCTTCTTCTTCTTCCATTCTTATTTCTTCTTCTTCCTTTCATCTATTTCTCTTTCCAAGTCCTTTCATTTCACTTGCAACTGAATGTTATTGTCATTCTTTTGAGTTATTGCATTACAAGATAGCCAGGACCCTAACACCTTTTTTTGCTATCTTTCATTACCACAGTCCATAGCACAAGTGTTGCATACTGAGCCGTGCAGACCAGAACAAGAACCGACCTCTCATCCATAGTGCGAAGCAGAAGACTTAGATACCAATGATCCGATCAACCAATGTTGCAATGCAGCCCTGAACATACATCATCATCATCGTTCCATGGTGTGAAAGGGGTCTGGCGCTTCACACAGGAAGACTGCACCAGCCCCAACCATACACAGACGAAGAAGAAGGGGGTTAGACGAAGAGGAGGGGAAGATGGGAATGTCATCAACACCGAGTCTTCGGCACAGGCCCAAATAGTCCCTCGTCAAAATGTCTGAATCCCAAATGTCGAGTCCGAATCCAATGTCGTCAAGTCTCAGGTCGTATCTCTCTCTCTCGTAGTCCACAGATACTGAGAAGTAGGCAGCGAGAGGGGAAGAAGAAATGGTGGACTTAGAAGAGGAAGAAGAAGAACTCTCTCTCTCTCTCTCTCTCAGTCCAGTACTAACCTGTAAAGCTGGCGCCTTGATGCAGGTACCTCGAAGGTGGAGCTGGAGCAATGGCGCCACAGGTAAGTACCACTGGCCTCCGCCAGTATCTCTCTCCGATACTGCTACCCTACCACCATAGCGCCCAGCGCTGAAGACTACAGCTCTGGCTATGGGCGCCCAGCGCCGAAGACTACTACTAGCGCTAATACTACTGCCTAGCGCTGAAGACTACTGCAGCGCTGCTCCTGAGTGCTGCGGCCGAATCCTGAAGACTACTCGTGCCTCTGACAACTACTTACCCGTGAAGTGCATGGGACTATCCTATGTACTACTCGGGTCTGCCTCCTGACTGCAGGCGAGCAGTCCAGGAGGCTGCTCTTGCCAATGCCRCAGGGAGGCARGGGCTGCAGCTGCAGCTMCTGCTCGAGCTGGCGTGGGGAWCAGGCCAGAAATAGCCTGTTCCCGAAACCCTGCTTTCGTGCCTGAGTCTTAGGGTCRGTCGAAACGATGAGGGCCTGAAAATGGCCCTCCGTTTCAGGCTGAAAAGCCTCTGGGCCTGAAAGGCCCAGAAATAGGCTGAAAACGRAATAGGGCCTGCAGGCCCTCGTTTTTCAGTTTCAGGCTGAAACGACCAGGGCCTGTAAGCCCTATTTTCTAGGCTTTTAGGCTGAAAGTGCGGGAC